TAGATTTGTATTCATGTAAGTCAACTGTCTACGATTGTTAAATGACCCCACGGATGCCCGCCACGACATTAGATCATTACCCATGGGGGTATAAATAAAAAGCAAATATAATCATGGCGGACGTAAAAAGGGTCATTTGACAAATGCACAAGGGAACAGTAGGCGACGGCAAACTAACACAAAAAGACAGACAAAAATGTAAAAAAGAAAATTAAACTTAATAAAACATATTTGAAGGACATTTTGGAAAGAGTCCAGGGTAAAATGACAATGATCATAATGAAAAAAGCTGATGATAATATGCATCATTTAAATCATTCCATAAAAGATACTAATAATGTTACACTTTGAAAATTAAGAAAAAGAGCTGGCAAAGTAAATATAAACATTCACCATCAGTCAGACATTTACAACAAACATAAACATTCACCACCAATAAACACCACCAATAAAAGATTTACAATAAATATAAACATCCACAATCAATCAAACATTTACAACACATATAAACATCAACCAGCAATTAAAAATTTACAACAAATATAAACATCCACAATCAAATATTTACAACAAATATAAACATCCATCAGCAATTAAAAATTTACAACAAATATAAACATCCACCAACAATCAAATATTTACAACAAATATAAACATCCATCAACAATCAAATATTTACAACAAATATAAACATCCATCAGCAATCAAATATTTACAACAAATGTGAACATTCACATTCATCATCAGCATCAATATCTTTATGTGTGTGTAACAGTGATTCATTTTCCCAAATAATCTCGTAACTTTTGATATAATGGGCAGAAAAACATATTTTGTTGTACAAATATGATTTGAGTTTGTATTTTTCTATAGAAGATCAAATAACACATCAATTCTTGATTAAAATAATAAGTAGGTATTTAACTATAATATTATTCTTATTTCTAACAAAAATGCGTATCTCCTTTAGATATTTTATAGAGGAACAAAAGTGACAAACTACCTATTTTTTCTCTTCTTATTCATAAGCAGACGACAACTAACGAAAAGCGGAATTCTCGTGCCACGCGATTTATGTCACGTGCGGTTTAGACACATTTTGAGTTTAACAATATATAAAGTGCATATAAATTATACATGTGTATCGTTCATCTAAATAACAATGATATTTTAATATTCATGGATTAATAGATCGGATTCCTGATGATGTTTGACAATTATACAGTCTGGATAAATATGAATTTTACAGGTAAGTTTACACAGTTTATTTTTAGAACAGCGTTGCTAAAATTAGAGTGGAAAACCGGTTGTCTATAAATATTCGATTTATAATTGAGGTCAACATAATGTAAATAAACAAACACTGCCCACAGTAGTTAATTTATGGATATGCTGGAGCATGGTAAGTTGGTTCATTACCTTCTCGTATTTCCTCGATGTCTTCAAGGGACTTTATTGTTACTTTTTTTCAGTACTGTTTATAAGCATAATCCCATAGATGTTACCTCCTGCTACCCATGTATGTTGAAGTTTATTTTCACGTTTCAATTTTCTGGCTTCGTACGCAAGTTGCTCACGTTTTTTTGTTAGTGATTCCTGTATGAAAATTCCGTCGGGTGCTGACTTGCGCTTATTGTATACGCGCTGGCGTGCTTTAGAATTGGTAAATTTCACTATAATACGTCTGTTCCTTGACAATCCTTTATCAAATCTACCTATTCTGTGGGCTTTATCAATATCTCCAGCGGATAGGGATATGTCTAACTGACTGTTGGCAAATTTCACAATTTTATCCTCAACATCTTCTTGATGGTTTCCTGTATCTCCAGGTATGTTAGAAATATCCAACATCATCCGCCGACCATATTGTTCTAAGTCATCGTTGTTGTGGTTAGCAGTTTTAATACAGTTGCGTAGATGTAATACCTCCTGACGTAGGTCTGTGACCTCAGTTTTCAATTTCTCCGTTTTAGCATTCACAATATGATCTATTTCTGTTTTTAGTTCGAATTTTAGTTCATGGATAAGATCTACCTTCAGTTTATCTAGCATTCTAGCTACAACTTCCTCAAGTTCCTCCTTGGAAAACATTATGTTGGGTGAGAGATATGTTGTGTTTGGAGTGTCCGAACTATCCGAAACAGCACTCAAGTATTCTGATTCTGTATCTGATTGGTCAACAACTTTGTGGCGTTTCAGAAATATACTCTGATGCGTTTCCTGATTTGGGGAGGATTTGTTTCTTTTACGTTTAATTTTCAATTTGTCAGGCATCTGGATGCATATTGATGATATATACAATAAGCGGGTGGGGTATGATGTGGGTGGGGTATGGTGCGTGTATCACAAACAAGACGTTTTAACTTACGTACCCACAAAAATCCGCTATTCTTTACATTTCACTTTACTATATATATCTGTTTATAATCCTGATCATTACATTTCCCAAGAACAAACGTTACAAGATCATTTAAATTACATTTTATTTGGAGATTCAAAACGCGCCACTACTTTTAAATAACCGGAAGTCTAACCAAAACAAGAACAGCTACGGATGAATATACTCACATACTTAGTGTCACACTATATTTGGCCTGATAAATATTCACTTTATTACGTCACTACCAGTCCGCTTTATTTAACAATTACCTGATTGGTGGGTTTGAATTTGACCTTATAAATATGCATGATTTACGTCACTTTGCGCCTGAAGACGCATTTACCCTTGTGTTTCAGTCGGTATATTGCTGATGCGAGTTTTCATTAGCTCTATTATATTGCACAGACACTTGAGGTTTGGAGCTCAAAATGCCTTTAAAATCCAAATAAAATGTATGTATATTTGTCAACCCCAGCACATGTACTGATCATAGGTAAAAAATCCGCACCCCTACCGTCATAATCACCATGTATTTTATTCCATTTCCAATATTTTCACATAATCCTTTGGTCCATCGACACAGAAGATATAATTCTTCACGATGATGGTCAATTTTAAACTTCAATGGTAATATAAACAACGCAACAGCCGAAATAAGATTATCGCCGTTTCTCTCCATTTACAAAATCTTTGCATATATTCAAACTTTGCCCCAGCTTTGCCATGTGCAAAATGCGCGGCGCTTTAAGTTTGAGAACCAACATAATCGGATGGCTTCGTCATGTTGACATCTACAAAACTTTTGAACGTCAGGGTGGTGCGCTTGGTAAAGTAGTCGTGATTCCTTGCGTTCAAATATTTTATCACAAGTCCAAGATCAACAAAAACTAGAAATGTATCGTCACACCACGGATGCCCCCGCATGTAGCCAAAATTTCAGATGTGATAATATTTAATTCCAAATTTGTTTGCACAAATTATTTTTTTCATTTTAAGTTCAAAGCCCTTAAAACTATTCAATGTTAACACAAACCATTTTATTTAAAGTTTAAGGCAGTGTTAACCTTTTGTAAATTGCATATTGCAAATTTGTAGCCAAAATAATGGCTACATACACTTCCACAAAAGTATGAGTGCTGAAACTGAAAATTGAAATGTTTTCCAACATTCATGAGTAAAATCATTGAACCACCACCAAATTCAAACTTTTACTGCTTATTCCCAAAATGTATTTTTATGTCAAATTTGAGTTGAATGGGTACAACCATTGGGGAGATAATGAACGGAAACTTAAAATTTCTGATTTTTTTTTCAAAGTTCAAGAAGGATAACTCTGTCAGCTATCATCAAACCATGACCAAACTAGAAATTGACCAATGCATTTTTATGACATATCCATATCCTTAATTTGAGTTTAATATGTACAACTGTTGGGATATAATAATGAATGGGAACTGAGGTAAAGGGCATAAATCTGCCAAAAATCATCGAACCATGACAAAATTCGAACTTGACTTGCACAATTCTTTGACGTATCCATATGTCAAATGTGAGTTGAATGTGTTATACCCTAGAGGAGAAAGTGAACGGAAACTGAAAATTTCATATTATTTTCAAAGTGAAGGAGACATAACTCTGCCAAAAATCATCGAACCATATCCAAATTCGAACTTGACCTTTGTTTTCTCATTACATATAAATATGTGAAATTTAAGTTGAATGTTTGCAACCGTGACTAAGATAATAGACGGAAACTGATGATGACGGAAAGACAGAAGGACGGAAGGACGAATGACGGAACAGGGTAACACTATATGCCCAAGCCATTATATGGCGGGGACAAAAAATAAATCAGACGTATAGTGACATACACGAGAAAGTGTGTTATATTGTTTGTCTATCAGAATATGTAATTAAACCGGTAATAATGAATTACTGTCCTGGGTAGTGCAGTGCACACGTATTTCGTGCCAACTGATCTAATGTAACTGCAATGTACATATATGCATTTCGTTTAGTAATTACATGTACTAGTATATGGTCTCATCTACTTGCTAGATATGACTGCAAATACATTAATTTTATAGCGAAACATAACAAAGAAACGCTTTGAAACTTATTTATAATGATGTTAAATTTAATGCAATAAAATCATTTCTTTTTATACAACATGAGGAGAAAGATAATTAAAGTGACTATGAAACAAAGAAAATACAAATAAATACAAAATATATTTAATAAATAGTCAATTAAATTTTCATTAGAAAGTTAATAGATAACATCTTTACGGCGACAGTTGGTATAGAAAATGGCTATAAGTAATATATATTACTGGTCTGCTTGACTGGTGATAACTTTTACAATATAATAACGGTTAGTGGACCTGACCAGCGCGTCACTCTATAATAATTATTGTCCTTATTTAGCATTTGTTATTGATACCTTTGTCATTCATTTATTTTTCGTGTGTCTAAATTTTCATGATGATACATCCCGACATTTATTTGTTTATTTTTAAAACTATGATTTCCGGAATAAATTTACTCTGTTTAAACATCTAAGATGACAAAATGAAGGTAATCCTCTGAAAAAAAAGCTAATTCGGCGAATTAAATGACAATACAACCGCCTCCGTGGTCGAGGGGTTAGAGTCGATGACTTCTAATCCAGTTACCTCTCTGGCATGGGTTCGATCCCCGGGAGATGCTTTGGTAGTTTAGCGCGGAGGAAGGTAGTCTAGTACTGGTGTAACTCTCCAGGAACGATGGTTAGGAAACTACCCGCCTATATGACTGAAATACTGTTGAAAAAGGCGTTAAATGAAACAAACAAACAAACAAATGACAATACAGACCATATCAAAAGTGTTTTTTTTTTAAATTCTTTTCAGGATGAGCGTTTTCGAAGACTACAACACGACATGTGCCAGTTATGACAACCAAAGGCAACCATTAGGTGCTGACATAGTTGTAGAAATGCTACGGTTGAATATCAAGAAACAATTAAAGGTATTAAACAAAAAATGGCAAGATTCAAATGATCAATATAGTCACCATAATGTAAAATCATTTTAAGTCTGTTTTTGAAGTATGTGAAATAAAGATATAGGGGCATAATTCGGATCCCAAATGCTGTAGGAACGAATATTAGGAAATGACAACCAATCTATGCAATATTGTATCAGATACTACTGGAAATAAAATTGGTAAGGACCTGCAACATATTAAATTATTCTGTTTTTGACGATTTTAAGGCTAAAACACTGTTCGATAAAGCAAAAAAAAAATTCAGACTTAAATATATGATTTCTGACGATTTTGAAATTTAAAGCAATACAATATTTCATATTTTTCATTTCATATCTCCTTTTCTGACTTCAAACAATGTTGTAATAAGATAGTAATTATCCGATGTGACTAGCATTTAACTGACATATACATTAACAGGACGTCCATATTCTTGATGCTGGTTGTGGAACGGGTAATTACTCCAAAGCTCTCATCGAATATGGTGTTGGAAAAGTAACATTGATGGATGCGTCCAGTGGAATGCTAGAACAAACTAAGAAGAAACTAGTTAATGCCATAGAAAATAACATAGTAACCGACGTGGTACAGAATAAACTTCCAAAAATACCGTTTGGAAATGGAACATTTGATGCCGTTCTTTTTAGTCTTGTAAGTACTAAAAGATATTTTAAGTATAGCTATGAAAAGACATATTTAATATTATTATTTATAACTCATAAATGCATGAACTGGACAATAAAGTTCAACATGCTGAATACTTCTTGTTGATTAATAATTGAGATATTTTCAAAGTAAAGTATCCGTATTTTTCCGTATAAAATTTAACATTTCCTTGAAATATGAGTTTTACGTTGTTTTCATTTAATACCAGGTGTTGCATCATTTGAATCCGAGATCTGATGGGTTGAACGATGAGGAAAGGCCATTCAAGGAATTGGAGCAAACTATTGCTGAAGCCAGACGTGTTCTTCGGAACGACGGCGTTCTTATCATTATTGCGCAGTCCGAAGATGATATTAGAAACAACTGGTATTGTCAAATCAACAATGACATCACAAAGAAATTTGTCACAAAATTTGCTTCCTGCAAGCAGTACCAAGATATATTTGATCGCACCGGATTTCAGTGCATCCAGAAGCTGAGACTTCTTGGTACTATTCTAGACGACCATCTTAATCTAGATGGTCCTTTCCAAAAGGCTTGGCGAGAATGCGACTCTTACTGGGCATGCGCTACTGATGAAGAATTGAATGATGTAATGCAAACCTTGAAGTCATTAAAAAATAAGGGTGAACTTGATGACTGGGTCATCGAGCATGATAAGGTCAATAGCCATGGCATTCTGACTATGTTTCTTTGTAAATGATTTGTGCCATTATTTTTTGATACAAATTCTAATTACTACTCTTTCAAAAATTTATATACACGTACAAGTTCCTTTGTGTTTGATTAGAAATTATAATATTTTTGTATGTTATGGAACAAAATATGCATATTGTTTCATTATATTACTATTAAAATTCAACTCTTCTATCGTTTTCCCACTTACCACACATTTATGACATGTTTGTTAACATCAACTCTTTAATAATTAAAGATCCTGTAACTCAATTGTTTATGGTTTTATATCATAAATATGATACTCAAATGAAGATGTATCAATATTGTAAGTTCCAAAAAGCATTATATGTAAAAATGTTACCGTATTTAAATTTCATGTAAATAATGGGAGGTAATTCGAAATGTTATTTGATAAAGTCTAAGCCAAATGTTTCACTAAGCATATATTTTAAAGCTTATTTTTAATGCAAGTAAGCATTTGCTGTAAATATTATACATATGCTTGTGTGTTTGGAAATTGTTTGAGAAGAATAATCATATACATGTACATATATAATCTTTCAATTATGTGTTGTTACATCTTTAACCCTTTCCCCCATGAGCATATTGTGAAAAATGGCTGTTTTCACTGAAAAGCCTCCTGTTACAAGTTCAAACTGCTATGAAACTATGAAAAATGCTTCAATACTAATCAAACTTGGCACAAATGTTGACTGGACCATTGCCTTTGTAACGACATGCTCAGTCTTAAATTTCCTGTTACCATGGCAACGAGGGGACATCTCAAAATTGCCAAAAATCACTATTTTGCCTTGATTTTTTCAATCAAAATTTGTTTCAAAGTGCTGCAATTTCTCAAGGGATTGAGATAGAGTCAAAGGCTTTTCAGCGTTGGTTACACGTTACATTATGATCGACCTGGGGTCATTTTTAGCCTCTCACAAGTCCAAAATTATCTTGGCGATGAGGGGGACTCCGCCCCCCTTCAAACCCCCCTAACAGAAGGGGGCACATCCCCCTTCTGGCAACCCCCTGATGTATCTTTTGGATGGGGGCGGTGCCGAAAAAGTGCTTAATTTTTTTAGCAACATTTCTCAAACGAAAACTTATGTTTAGGGCCCAAATAGGACATTTTTCACTATTTGAGGCCTAAAAAAAAGGGGGGGGGGTCGAAAGTGCGTTGTTTCTTGTATATATGTGGTAAAGGGTTAACAAAAAATGATGAAAAACTTTGGAATCACCTAAAAACAAGTTTTTCCAAGTTAACATGTGGTCTTTCACCTAATTTTGGTGAAAACTTGTTGTTTTGTAACATTAATATTTTTTTTAGTTAACAAAAAATGATGAAAAACTTTGGAATCACCTAAAAACTAGTTTTTCCAAGTTAACATGTGGTCTTTCACCTAATTTTGGTGAAAAATTGTTGTTTTGTAACATTTATAATTTTTTTAGTTAACCCTTTCCCCCATGAGCATATTGTGAAAAATGGCTTTTTCACTGAAAAGCCTCCTGTTACAAGTTCAAACTGCTATGAAACTATGAAAAATGCTTCAATACTAATCAAACTTGGCACAAATGTTGACTGGACCATTGCCTTTGTAACGACATGCTCAGTCTTAAATTTCCTGTTACCATGGCAACGAGGGGACATCTCAAAATTGCCAAAAATCACTATTTTGCCTTGATTTTTTCAATCAAAATTTGTTTCAAAGTGCTGCAATTTCTCAAGGGATTGAGATAGAGTCAAAGGCTTTTCAGCGTTGGTTACACGTTACATTATGATCGACCTGGGGTCATTTTTAGCCTCTCACAAGTCCAAAATTATCTTGGCGATGAGGGGGACTCCGCCCCCTTCAAACCCCCCTAACAGAAGGGGGCACATCCCCCTTCTGGCAACCCCCTGATGTATCTTTTGGATGGGGGCGGTGCCGAAAAAGTGCTTATTTTTTTAGCAACATTTCTCAAAACGAAAACTTATGTTTAGGGCCCAAATAGGACATTTTTCACTATTTTGAGGCCTAAAAAAAGGGGGGGGGGGGTCGAAAGTGCGTTGTTTCTTGTATATATGTGGTAAAGGGTTAACAAAAAAATGATGAAAAAACTTTGGAATCACCTAAAAACTAGTTTTTTCCAAGTTAACATGTGGTCTTTCACCTAATTTTGGTGAAAACTTGTTGTTTTGTAACATTAATATTTTTTTTAGTTAACAAAAAATGATGAAAAACTTTGGAATCACCTAAAAACTAGTTTTTCCAAGTTAACATGTGGTCTTTCACCTAATTTTGGTGAAAAATTGTTGTTTTTGTAACATTTATAATTTTTTTAGTTAACCCTTTCCCCATGAGCATATTGTGAAAAAATGGCCTTTTTCACTGAAAAGCCTCCTGTTACAAGTTCAAACTGCTATGAAACTATGAAAAAATGCTTCAATACTAATCAAACTTGGCACAAATGTTGACTGGACCATTGCCTTTGTAACGACATGCTCAGTCTTAAATTTCCTGTTACCATGGCAACGAGGGGACATCTCAAAATTGCCAAAAATCACTATTTTGCCTTGATTTTTTCAATCAAAATTTGTTTCAAAGTGCTGCAATTTCTCAAGGGATTGAGATAGAGTCAAAAGGCTTTTCAGCGTTGGTTACACGTTACATTATGATCGACCTGGGGTCATTTTTAGCCTCTCACAAGTCCAAAATTATCTTGGCGATGAGGGGGACTCCGCCCCCCTTCAAACCCCCCTAACAGAAGGGGGCACATCCCCCTTCTGGCAACCCCTGATGTATCTTTTGGATGGGGGCGGTGCCGAAAAAGTGCTTAATTTTTTTTAGCAACATTTCTCAAACGAAAACTTATGTTTTAGGGCCCAAATAGGACATTTTTCACTATTTGAGGCCTAAAAAAAAGGGGGGGGGGTCGAAAGTGCGTTGTTTCTTGTATATATGTGGTAAAGGGTTAACAAAAAATTTCACCTAAAAACAAGTTTTTCCAAGAACATGTGCTTTCACCTAATTTTGGTGAAAACTTGTTGTTTTGTAACATTAATAATTTTTTTAGTTAACAAAAAATTGAAAAACTTTGGAATCACCTAAAAACTAGTTTTTCCAAGTTAACATGTGGTCTTTCACCTAATTTTGGTGAAAAAATTGTTGTTTTGTAACATTTTATAATTTTTTTTAGTTAACCCTTTCCCCCATGAGCATATTGTGAAAAAATGGCCTTTTCACTGAAAAGCCTAAGTTCAAACTGCTATGAAACTATGAAAAATGCTTCAATACTAATCAAACTTGGCAGAAATGTTGACTAGACCATTGCCTTTGTAACGACATGCTCAGTCTTAAATTTCCTGTTACCAGGGCAACGAGGGGACATCTCAAAATTGCCAAAAATCACTATTTTGCCTCGATTTTTTCCATCAAAATTTGTTTCAAAGTGCTGCAATTTCTCAAGGGATTGAGATAGAGTCAAAGGCTTTTCAGCGTTGGTTACACGTTACATTATGATCGACCTGGAGTCATTTTTAGCCTCTCACAAGTCCAAAATTATCTTGGCGATGAGGGGGACTCCGCTCCCCTTCAAACCCCCCTAACAGAAGGGGGCACATCCCCCTTCTGGCAACCCCCTGATGTATCTTTTGGATGGGGGGCGGTGCCGAAAAAGTGCTCAATTTTTTTAAGCAACATTTCTCAAACGAAAACTTATGTTTAGGGCCCAAATAGGAAATTTTTCACTATTTGAGGCCTAAAAAAGGGGGGGGGGGTCGAAAGTGCGTTGTTTCGCGTATATATGTGGTAAAGGGTTAAGTTCAACAAACAGGATCTTAAATGAAAGCGCTTTGGCAGCTACATAGCTACGCAAAATAACAGAATACTATGGCAATAGATTTGGAGTATGAGGAGATATTCAAAACGGTCTTGTAAATGGACCTGAATGGAATGGAAAATACAACAAAAAACTTAGAGAGCCACATGTTATGATAACTTACCCAAAGAAAAAGTATGTTTTTAATAATTAAACCAATAAAGTAAGTAAAACATAGGCACGGATGCAGGAAATTGTAAAATCTAAATTGCTTTTTGTATCTTTCTCAGACAAGCCTATCATTTGAGTAGGAGGCGGACATATGTAAGTTTCATTTTGTTCGAGGTTCGTAGCAAAGGCATTATAAATAATTTCTGTCTACGAATTTACACGTACATGTTATAACTGCATCTTTTGACAGACCAACTTGAAACAATCCTACCCATATAACACACTACAAAGACAGCCGATTTTTATGGCTCCCTAACATAACATTTGTGATTATTTTCAATGTACATCAGCCTGTAAAAAAGACAGAAACATTAAAAGTGTACTAGTCTTTTTTAGCACCAGTGTCTTAAACACTTAGACACCAGCTTTTAAGAACAACTCAATGTATCTACTGATATTAAGACAATAAATAAAGGGTGATTGAGCAAAGGTGTAAAGATCTGTTTGTATCAGTCTGTCTGTGATACAAATAATGTTTTTATATGGATAAACTTGACATACGATATATTATTACTGATGTACTTTCTCATAATCTTTGTTTTATGAAAATTCGAAAAAAAAAATTATTATAGATATAAACATTACGATATCAATAATCAAGAAAAAAACGATTGCTAGAAAAATCTTTGGATATACAAAAAATAATTAACACATATAAATAAACAAATATTCTTAGGATATGAACTTAAGTTTAGTACCTTAGTGAAAAAATCTATAGCTCATAAACATATGCCTTTTCTCAGTTTTTCTCTGTAAAGTTTACAGAACAACGCTGTGAATGCAATGAATTCCAATTGGTAGATAGACAGCTGCACGGTTCAACGTGTGAATACCATTTGGGATCGTATATACTGTCGATTAAATTTATATTAGCCCCTGTCTCACTAAAGACCTCTGCCATACCAGCAGATATTAAAGGTTAAATTGTTGAAACAAATTATTACTAGAAACATTGTTTGTTGCATACGGATTTAATTGCGAACTTCATAACCTTTTAAAGGGGGTAAAGCGACAGCATATGGGTATAACTATAAGAAACTTTCATCTATTCGGTCTAGGATGATGAACATTTAGATTATTATTGCAACGACTTCGTTGAATATCTTTTCTGAACTCCATACACAGACACAACTGTGATGAAACTGATGTAGATTTTTAGCATGGTCCGTAAAAGTTATTGCAGAGCGTGGCCAACAGTAAATTAGCAACACAAAATAATACCTATCAGTGAAATCCCAACAGAACGACTAAAACGACGAAATTGAAATTGTTGAAGGCCCGGTTTGATTGAGCCTGTTGATTGACGACCGTCCGCAATCCCTGGCACTGGCTTTAACAGATTTCAACATTTCAGACGAAAATGGTGAAATTTTGAACTGAGAAACATTCGCAGATGTGTTCATACGGCGATTATCATGTAACATTCAATGTGACACGTAAGTGCCATTCCATGAAAAGCGGGTA